GGGGAAGCTAAATAAATACATACACCATGTCAACGTTTTCTCAACCATTGGCCTAAGAAGTCCCTTCATTTGGTTATAGCACGAGGTGTTACGGGTTTCGGTTAGCGCGAATTTTTACCATTTTCAACTGTTTTTCTGCCCTGGGCACATGTGGGGGTGTAGCATTGAAAGAAACCCTAAAGAGCCCTCAGATAGCAGCCCCTGTGGGTCCACCCCAATCCCAACGTGAACGTAGTGCCTGTGAAACAAACCAGCCTTCAGACGCAAAATGGTGTCTAAAAAGCAGAGCAGGTATCTCACAGGCGACAATACAAAGGTTCCTCCCTGCTCCCCCTCCCCACACAGCTCTATTCGTGGCAGTTTTTTATCCCTATTCGTTTGCCACAACCTCTCAGCACTCACCAACCCATTTCTATTGGTCTCAACCCCACTGCAGTGAGGTGCTTTGGTTTGCAATCTCAAATAATAGAAATACCCAATAATGATTTCCTCTAAGTACCAGAAAATCGTTTTCTAACAGCGATGGCTCAAACAAGCTGGATGCAAAGGGAACTACAGAAATAATCATTAAGAAGTGGAATGAGGCCAAAGATCAGTGAGGCCTCAGGATTGTTATCTCACCTTTAGAGCTCTTGAAGATCTTCACATGGATAGAGCTGAGCTGATTCAGCAGTGAAGCCCCCCTGACTGTTCAATTTGTTGTCAGCCCTCCCCTTTGCCTGGCTATGAATGCTCCCCTTAAACTGCGGTAACAGAAGAGAGGGAGGTTATTATTATTATTATTTTTATGTCTTCAGACTAATCCCAGAGATAAAGTATAACTAGTGGACCTTCATTAACTAACACAAAGCACCTATACTGCCATTGCTGCTGCTCTGAACTCTGTGATGTGTTTCCAAAGACTGCAAAGAGGTAAGGATGCAGATGATCTTCAGGCTCTCACTACTGAGTTTCATCTGGTATGACATGTAACTGTTATGACTCCTGGAGCCAGCTCCCTGATTGTTTATGTTTGGTATACTATCCAGAAATGATTTTCTAGTGTCCTGTATATGCTGTGGATATAAAAAAGAGATTCCAGCTACTTGGAGAGAAAGCTTGTGACTTGCCTCCGAAGAGCTGGATTTCCAGTCCAAGAAAGCATTTCTGTAAAGCCAACCAAGCTGTGAAGGTTCAAGTAAATCGCATTTCCAAGACACAGTGGATGAAGAGCAGAATCAAAAATGAAGGCACAAAATCTCCTTCCAAATTCTACAGCAACATTCCTAGATATGACCCGCAGTGTCAGAGAGGGAGATCTTCCAGTAGTGGAGTCTTAACATTGATTAAAAAATCAATATCCAAATAGCTTTGATCAAATGCCTTAGAAACTCTCTGCAGCATTCCCTGTTTCCACTCAAAGTCAGCAGTGAGCGGGGCCAGGGAAAGGTCTTTCCTGTGAAGCATGGCTCTAGGGGTCAATAAAGGACACTGCAATATAACGGGTTCCTTTGGTGGTTGGAAGACCTTCATGGTAGTGGGTGAGGCGTCCTGGATGCATCAGAGTCCACCCTTTTCGTGGAGCTCGAATCGAGCAGTTGTAACGCAAAAACCGGCAGCCTCCTCCCTGAGAGATACAGACCAAGAGACACATCAGCTTGGTTAGATCACCTAACAGAATGGGTCTCTGCCTTCTCTTGGCAGCTCTTCAAAAAGTGTGAGAAGGGAGCTGGGGAATCCAGCTCTAACATGCTCAAAAATCCCCTGACATAACCCAGTCATTAATCGCAGTCTTCAGTGTGAAGAAGCCAATAAAGACGGTTGTGCCTGGAAGGCTGTGCTTCATCCCCAACACGCTGGCAAACTTACCTCATAGTCTATTCCAACCCTGTTCAGAGCAATGTTAATGGTAAAGGTGGAAGCGTCGTGATGGGGCATTAAAGAAGGCTGCTCATCAGGTTTGTAGCGGACCACGAAGGCCAGCTCAAACTGAGTCTGCAGGAGAGAAGAAAAAAGAGAGCATCTGTTACAGAGCTGTAATAGCTCGTGGATACATATTACACCTGAGATAGGGTGTCATTTTTAAATTGCACCTAACTGCTAAGAAGAACCACAATAATGCAGGAAAATATTATTGGAAACCTGTATTTTCTGATGCATATACTTCAAGTCATAGTTCAGCATTAGTCCTCCATACCAGGAAACAGTATACATATTGCAAGAGGATTCTAGTAGTCTTTTCACACAGCTGCAACTGTAGCAGACGCTGAGCTGACCATGAGTTTTGATGCCATGGTATTACCCACCTTGGTATAGTATCCTGGGTACAGTTTCTCTGTGATGGGTGCAATATAGTCCAGAAGAAACTTATACCATTCTCTTTCAAAGCCAATTTGATTCATGTGGATATCGATAGTTGGGACATTCTCATATCCTCCTTGTATTCTACTGTCCTGAAATTGAACCACGAAAAAACCAATGAGGATGGGCACCTTGGACTTCACAAACAAAAAGCACTTTTTTTCTGCTAATTACCAATACATATGAAGTTTATTTATCAGGATTTTCAGGATGGTAAGTTCATTTCAAACAATCAGTAAACCCTGAAGGGCTGAACACTGTCACTCTGGTGGATAGTATATGGACTCAGAAAAGTTAATTAACATTCAAGAGCATGGGCAAAACCATGGAGTTAATTAAGAGGAAAATTAGCAGTATTCAGGCCAGTTTCCTGGTTTAGCTTCAGGATCTAAGGCCTTCCTCGAGGAGGCACTACTGTCACCAAACATATAAGGACAAAGTTGTCACCTGGAAATTAAACAGCTCCTGTTTTTCTTACCGTATTGTCACCTGTGGACCACTTGCCATAATGCTCCATTTCTTCCACCAGCTCATCACAAGCAGTGTCAGTGAATATGGGGAACCAGTAAACATCTGGGCAGGGCTGCAGAATGTCAACAGGTGAGAGCAGCAGAAATAAGGACAAGTGCTTGAGGCAAAAGGAATATGACTAAACTGACTGTATATAGGGTCAGATTAAGTGGAAAGGGACTACAACATCAAGGATAGAAGTTTGTCTTCTGATTGATGTGTCCTACTTCCACTTTACAGAGCTGGAGATGGACTTCTAGAATAATGATTTTGCTCTAAAAATACTTTCAAGGTCATGTTTCCTCTGCATTTGAAAGACTACAAGGTCATGCTGAACTGCTTATTCCAGCGAATGACAACAGTGATAACACAAGTGTTCTCTCATTTTGATGGATACGAGCAATGTTTTCTTACCATTTCTACCAATTTCCCTTTCAGAGCTGCTGTGTAGTTTTCATGGATGTACTTTTCTCTCCAGTCCTACAATTAAAAGATAAAGAAAACAGTCACTTCTGAGGGGCCTGGTTAGAAGGACAAATAAAAGTCACATGGTGGTGCCACAGTACTTCAAATGCTTTGAAAATACAGATGTTATGAATCACACACAGTCTGGACCTTCCTTATTGGTGAAGCTGGACGTCAGATTTTCACATCCCACACAGCCTGCCAAGCCTGCAGAGCAGGCAGGTTATCTCACCTCAGGGTTGCTGAATATTTGCCAGAGGTCATTGTGGAGGTGACTTGTTTGGTAATTCTCCAGAGACAGTATGTGTCCAAACTGATGTCGATTTGTCAAGTACATGAAGACTCCCTGCAGAACAGAGAAAACAATCAAGTTTTGTTTTCACATCTCACATTTTTTGTGAGCAACCGTGAAATTAAAACAGTGAACAATTTCCCAGTGATGATGGCTTTGCTCAAGTGCTCATCTATTCCTTCTTCGCATGTGGACTTTAATTTTCATTCTGGATATGATAAACTTTGAAAGGTTATAACCAGAGTTGGTAATTCTGTGCCTATCACCAGCCAGGGTTGAAAGCAGATCAGCTGCTGTAAGATTTGGTTCTTTCTTCTTAACCCTGTTGTCCCCTTTTAGAACAGCCCTGACAAGGCCCATGAACAAAAATTTTATCTGCACTTAGCAGTCCTTGGCTCTGGGCAGTTTCACAGCAAGACAGAAATTCTATACTGTTCCAAGCTTGCACAGGATTGAGTAATGCTGGTTCATCCTGCCCCATATTCTAACAGAGCGGAATGACTTAAACCACTTAATCTTGTCACCTCCACACTGGAGTGTAGTTCTCCCCTGCCAGCATCCCTCTCCTCTACTGACCTGATTCCGCACATTGTGGCAGAAAGCCATGTCAGCATCCAGCTTGCCACCATGGAAGAGATCTCCCTCATCAAGCTCCGATCGTAGGGCTTTACCTTTCACCATGTAAACACTGCTGATGTAGGGAACATTCCAGAGCCCACTGAAACACAGGGGTAGGATAGTAAGATTTGAAAGAGCAATAAGGCAGGAACTGTTGGGATGGAAGGCAGCACCATCATGTCAGCAAGGCTTGCTGCAATGAGCCAACTCGGAATGGCAGGAAGAAACCGTGCCAACAGGAGTTGTCATTTCAGGAAAAATCATTTATATTGCCTAGAGCTTTTAAAGAGTAAAAATGCCAGGGCACTGTGCAAGCAATTGACTGATATTGTATGTTTCTGTATGGGACATAATTAATGTCTTGAATCTCTTCCCAGAGAGATCAACATAATTTTTTCTAATTATTTAAAAAAAAAAATTGAACCAGCTGAAAAGGCATAATCTGATTTCCAGCATTTATTGCCCCAAAAAAGGCCCCTCAAGAATATGAGTGAACCAACAATTGTTGGTTCCAATTGTTCCAAGTTGGAACCAACTTTGTGAATATTCCATTCAGTAATCACCTACAGTATTATGAAGACAATCTAACAAAGATTAAACAGTTTTGTATGAGATTTTACAGACTAATTGTAATTCACAGGTGGGAAAACACATGAGTATGATGAAGTGATTTCAGCATAGTTAGGGCTCTCTACATCTTGCTCAGCTCATAATAAAATCTGCATGAAATCTGCACTCAGGAAAGAACACTGAGCAGCTTCTATGCAGAAGTTCAGACTTCTTTCCCTCTTCTGTGCCCCAAGGCAATTGTGTTCCCTGGTCTGATGATAATGTGCACCAGCTTTGTACCTGAGGGAGTGCATCAGTAAGAAACTCGCTGTATACTCACACCCTCCTCCTCTGAACAATATCCACGTAATCTTCTGAGCGGGCATAATACCCATCAGGGCTCAGTGCTCCCCAGAAATTTGACCACAGCTTCTCATGACGACTCACCAGGGGAGCAATCACCGACCTGTGAATGCAAAAGAAAAGTGATGTTACCACAGGAAGTGAAGGAAAAGATTTACAAACCACAGGATCCTGAGAGGCAGATTATCTTTCACTAGCAGCTTCTATTAACTATGTTGGAATAAAATTCCACATAAGCAAGAGTAAACACATTTACAGTCTCGTATCTAAGTGCATCCAGCAAGATTCTTAGAATCCAATTTATTCCAGTGACTACTTAAAGGCCAACTTGGAATATCCATTACCTGAAATTCAGTCATTGCAACTGTAGCAAAAAAGGACCAAAGAAAAAGCATACATCTGACATTTCATCTCCAGCACAGCTCACCTAGTGGTCTTACATGTCTCAGTGATAAAAGAGCTCATGTACTCCTTTGTGAAAGGTGGCCCTTAATGACTGCTCTGACCAATAAACTCACTTGTTCTGTTCAATGAGAATCCTTAGCGTCTCTGTGTTCTTCAGAACTACTTCAGCATCCAGGCTAAAATAATAGTCACAGTCAGGATCCTTTCTGCACAAATCCCTGTAGCCAGAAAACAAGAAAAGTCACATCAACATCCACCTGGAACAGAGTAAGACAAGAGACAGAACAGTAGGACCTTGTACTCTAAGGGTCTTTGTCTAGGTGTTAGGAAAGTGAGTTTAATGTAACAACCCACACAGCCAGCATAGTAAAGGGAAATTCATTTCAGTAACCAACCGCACACAGTGAAATGCAGCAAGTGTCAAACTTAGCCAACCGTTTCCACAGTGCAGACTGAGTTGATTCCCATTTATGGTTGGCCCAATTCCTGGCTAGTTCAAACTCACATCTCCTGATCACCAGATCCTACTTTTACTACTATACTCCTTTTCTTTGGAGATACGGGTGCATACTCTTTATGTGTAGGACTGGGCATAGAGATTGTTGAAGATGAGAAGTAAAGGGTTATCCTCCTAACAAAGCAAGCACCCAGCAAGAATTTGGTTTCTAAAACTGAAGGATTGGGGCAGATCTTTTTTCCACAATGTATAATGGAGAATTAATGCTAGGATAACTGAAAGACACAATACATCCACTTGACAGTGATGATCCTCAGAAAAACCCTAGTTTGGACACAGACTGATGCTGACAGATATCACGTCTGGTCTCTTCACTTACATGCCCAAGTTACGCGCCTCAGCATTCTCCACCTCATCATCTGGTCCAATCACTTTCATAGCAAGATATTCCTTGCTGTGCTCCTTAACAAAAGAGTCCACTTGCATTGAATGATGCTGCTCCTATGGAGAGAAAAAAATAAGGACAAGAAAGTGACACGAACTCATCTCAGACTGTTCAACAGCCTGTTCTTGTGAATGTCAGAGCAGACAAGCAACAGCTCTTCCCATTTCCACATTTTTACACCTGGATGCATCCATTATACAGGTGCCACTGCAGATGAGTACAGGGATTGCAAAGCCTGGCAGGGTAGTCAAAGGTTGCAAAGGTGACCAGAGTACAGGAAGAAGTACACATTTTCCCAGCATTTGCTAAGAGTATCACAGGCCAACTTTACTTACGTGGTTGTGAATGAAGATTTGAATTCGTTGCTTGGGGTAATGGAGATTACGAAGCCGCAAGAAAAACTGGGAGAGAAACGGGGTGGGCTGCTCGATGAAAATGCCAATCAGAATCATTGGCAGAGCCTCATCCTACATTCAGTGAGAAGAGATATCAGACACGTAAGATTCCATTGTAGTTGTAACACCTGTCTTGAGAGCTTGGAATAGACATCAGCCTTACCTTAATACCTGTGAGGCTGCGCAGACCTTCGTCGCACACTGTACAGCCAGTCTCAAATGTCCATATTTGAGGAATGTAGTTTCCTAAGTAGTTCAGCTGTAGCTGCAAAAGGGGATTTGTCATGTTAAACATTACAGGACAGAGGAGGATCTTTGCTTCTGCAGATTTCAAAGATAACACTTCGGCAGAACTTCACTTCTGTTCTCCTTGGACTAACAAACCTAGAGTCTGACAGTCTCAGGGCCCAACTGCACATCAATCTTAGAACCAGACCCATCTTGCTGCTATGGACCTGGGGCACTTATTGTGTCTCAGTGTAAATGTACACAGTGAACGTCATCATATGGGAAGACAGCAACCTGATATAAACAAGTCTAAAGGGTTACTTTGGAACAAATACATACCAAATCTTCTTAGGATTCCCACTTACCTTGGTGGGTCCATTCCCATGAATTATTACAGGCAGAGTGTCATATAACAAGTTTCTTGCTCTCACTCGTGCGTTTTCAAATTTCAGAACTACCTCATCTGGAAATGACATTGTCATCATGTTATCAGAAAAAAGCATTTATAAAAATTAGCCAGCACCATACCCCACTTCTAGTGAAAGATGATAGCATAGACCCGGATTCTGTGAAGCTGGGCAAAGAATGTAGCTCACTGGGCTGATGATCATGCCCTCTTCTGGGAAGCCATGCTTTAACAGTCTTTCAAAACAGACACCGACAAACTCCAAAGTATGGAACAGCTACTGATGACCAGGGAGGATTCAGAGCCTTCTCACCTCTGCACACTCTGCACCTACTGCCTCTCTTTTTCACCCCAGACAGAATTCTGCCTTCCTGGCAGTTATCACTCAGTGTATCTCCTCAGTGCAATCACACAAAATTCTTTGGAAAACAGGATAAGCACAGATTCATGCTCTAGTCTTGCTGTTATCATGAGCACAGAAGCAAAAAATATAACATTGTCATTTTCATTTTTCACCTGACTGAAACAAAGATGGACCGGTGCAAGATAATAATCTCAATATAATAATTAATCACTTTGACATGGACTGGCAAAATCAATCAGCTGATCATAAACCTGTTATTGGTCAAGTGCATGCTCACAGGCTGTATCTGGCTTCATCTCACCTTCTAGGGCATTCCAGACATTATTCTGAGGCAGAAATACAAAGAAAGCCCTAGGCAGTGCTATGTGTTGTTACTTGCAGCAAAGTGCCTCCCATTTTCAATCTCTAAGGCTAATGCAATCTGACATGCTTGGAGATCAAAGTGGCAAGGAGGTGTAAGATGGACAACTTGACCTGCATTCCCCAAGTGAAAAGGGAAGTGCAGTGAGAACCTAGTTGGTTGCAATGGAATTGCAAATTAATTCCAGAACTCTGCAGAGGCTTTTTGCTGGGGCTTGTTCTGCAGGGACAGGAATTTCTGAAATTTAATCCCTTCAGCCACAAGACAAATTTATTTCTGGTGTCAGCACGCAGTTGCATTCCAAGGAGAAATGAGCTTCCTCCCATCTCACCTAATGCTCCATTTAGGTTTTGGAAGATCCGACTTCTATGGTCTAGACTGATGTTGATATTTTCCTTTAAGAGAATGAGATGCATAAACTTAATTAGAACACAAGCAGTCATCTGTTCTTCACATGTGAGAAACTTTATGCTGAACAAAGATATATCATATTTCTATAATCATTTCCATACTTCCCGAGCTTGAAGCTTGAAACATTCAGAGATCATTCTTATTTTCAGTTGAAACTGAGAAAATTCACCATTTTTGAGAACTTCAACACATTATATTCAGCAAAACCATAGAAATAAACGTTTTAAAGACTAATCTGTGTGTGCCGCTAACAATATGCAGCATATTGCAAGTACACTTGCAGCACGGTCACATAAAATCCACGCGTAAATATGCAGGAATGCCAAGATAACAAGAACATCTGCTGTCTAGACAGTTTCTTGCCATCTATTCTCAGGTAAAGGCTCAGATATCGTTGTCAAATGAGAACATATGAGTGCAAGCCCAGCTTGAGCAATCTTTATTTTACCCCCTGCTACAAACTGCACTTTGAATAGATTTTTGTTGGACTAAAAAAACCCAGCTCTGACTTAGCAGAGCTCAGTGTCCCTCCAGGCATTTATAAAGACTGATTACTGGAAAGGACAGCAGGGTGCTAACATCCGCTGTCTTGAATGCCAAGTTAGTGAAATTACTCAGCCTTTGTATGGCATAGGGCCAGAAATGCAGATGAGAATATTAAAGGGACTGCTCAACTGTTCACGTTAAAATGGCATGAGTCACGTTCAGATTTGGGGAGGTAAAAAAGCACAGCTATTGCAGCTGATCTGAAAGCACTTTCTAAAGATTCCTCTCGACTTCACTGTTACAGTTTCACTTCTTAATTCCCATTTGTGACTTCCCTCAGTGACAGCTGACACTGCATAATGCAAAGCAAGGACAACAGAAGCTAAAGCCAGGACACAGGGCTATTCCTTTCAAAGCTTTCCCAAGGGTGTAGTTGCTATAATGCTAATTCTTATAAAGAAAACAGATAACTGACATCCTACTAGCCTTTTCCATGCAATAATGTCAGAGCAATAATTCTGGGGCAACATGCACCTGACTGACTTCTTTTAAAATCAACAGGGATACCACAAGAAAAGCTTAACTACACATACTCTTTTTTCTGGATCCAAAAAGATCTTCGTGTAGAAGAGCTGGTCACTGTCATCGTCCTTTCCTTTCCATTCCTCTACAAGTTTTTTCAGGTTTGGAGCATAACCTATGAAGCCTGCAGGAACAAAAATGGAGAGGTATTTCAACCCAGGTAATCAGAAAAACTGAGGACTTCTGCATACCATACTCTCACTTTTTTCACACACAAGTCTCATTCCACCCTGTGATGCAGCAGAGCTACACCAGCTTTCAGCAGAAGCATGTACAGACCACCCTTCCCAACATTCCCCTGAAATTAAACCAAACAGAAAAGCTCAGCTATCGCCTGAATGACACTTCACAGCAAAGCAAAGACAGTGAGCAGCTTCCTATCCTTCAGATATAATTCACAGCTGTGTCCCCTCCTGGATGTAAAAGACATCAGCACTGTTAGGCATTCCATTATGGGTATTTATGCCCCGGTTTCAGTTCCCAACATCTTCTACAGAGATGCTTTCCACATTTGATTCCTTGATACTTCTCCTGAAAGCTTTCTAATACAAGGGCAAAGCTAGGAGTGACCTTTTGGCTGAAAGAAGGTTCTGATTCTTACCTCCAGAACCCAGGAAGCGCTTTCCATCTCGTACCGTAGGGTACTTGGCTTCCAACTTTCTGTCAGGATAGATGTAGTTCTCTGCTGAGAAGACCACCTTGCTCTTGGCTTGTTTGAACTTCTTCAGCAGTTCCGTGGGGCCTGATGCAAAGAGTACATCATAGCTAGAGTAAAAGAGCAACAAAGAAAGGGACAGAAAGGAATAGAGTCAGAAAAACATGCCGATACAAAAAGCTTCTAGAAACAGCTAATTTAACTGGAATCCCCTTCTTTTAATTCTGCTTCACAGTATTATATTTTTGTCATAATTACAGATAATTAAATTATTCATATAGGGGAAGATGTTACTTCCCACTGGAGAAGATTCCACAATATCTTGGGGTAACTTACATGCTTACAAAGTTTTCACTGATAATAAAACCAAAACTTCCAAGTCACAAAACATGCAGATCTCTTCTTCTCTTCCCCAGTTTGCAACTGTGTAGCCTTGGTGTCCTCACTCATTAAGGTTTATTCTGCCATTCTTTTATACCCACACTCCTTTCTAAACTAAACTAATCCATAGGTTATGCCTTTTAAATCTTTTGGCATCCTGCCATTCTCCACGGAGCTCTGCAAATCTATAGTAGACAACAGTCACTGCATGCTGGACTCTCTCTTCAATACTGAATAGACCTCACTAATTCCCAAGCAACACTCACAGAATGAGACTTGAGTTTTCAGCAAGAGGATTTGCAAACTACAAACCCACTCTTGGTGAGTAACAACATTCTGAATTCCAGAATGGATTCATCCAGAGATGAATCATTCTCAACCTCTAAATGCACGTAGACACTCAGCGCTGCAGAGATGATCTCCCTGCCACGGGAGCTGGAGACAGATGCCAGTATCCCAGCCCTGCCTGTTGCTGGGCACAGAAAAAGACACTGAGACTACAAACAATTCTTTTCCCTTTCCACATATCTCTGGCAGACTAATCTCTGGCTGTCAGGATTCAACCTATTAAAAAAAAATAATAATTCCACTAAAGGAATCCAGAGAAATTGCCCATTCTCTGGAAATACAAGCAGCCAAATTCCACCCTGGCAAAAAAGCAGGTATAATACTATCTTGTTTTGTAATATGCAAGAGTTGGAATCAGCCCATTTTGGTCAGACCTTCCCAATTGCCACGAATGCAGCTCTGAGCAGCTCTCAGGTGACTGCAAAGAATTCAGGGGGATAAAACACAGATCTACACGCACCTTCCAGAAGCAATCTACTTCACAGTTAATTTCTTCTGTCCAAACAACTATCTGATTTATTTAATGACAAATAATTTCTGATCCATTACCTTTCTGTGAAAAGGATGATCAAGTCTTCCTTATCTGCATGCTGCTTCAAAGCTGATTTCAAGAGACGGACCTTCTGCCCACCTCCTGCTGGCTTCTTGTCATCTCCACCCTTCCAGTCCTCATCCAGCCCAAGCACCTAAGGATGACAGACATAGGGTATACTCAACAGGCCATTTTCCCAGCAAGGATCACAAGAAAGAACCCAAATTCTTAGCTTTATTTGTCCTGTTAAAGCCCAGCACAAAACCAGGAGCACCGGGACAGACAAACTGGGCATACATGTCAGCCTTTGAACTACTCTCTGGGATGGACAGTCAGAGTAACATGCAGCACAGTAACAGAGCACTTTCAGAATCAGGAATGGGAGCATCCTAATCTGTACTGTGCTTCAAAAACGTAACAGAAAAGTGTCACAGAACTTCACTGAGCAGGAGTTATAGACCTCATCTCAAGCCACCAGTGGGGATGGAATAAGAATGCTGCACAAATGCAGCATTTCTCAGCTGAGTAACTATGTCCACTCCTAAAATTGTTTGTTTTATGGCTAAGTCTTATCCACTCCACACTCTTAGGAGTGCCCATTTGAAAACGTGCTTTACCAACCACCAGTAAGGCTGCTGGCTGTCACCTGGATTTTGTAGTTGAAGAACTGGGCTGATCTTCTAAAGCGTCGAAATCCTTCGGTCTGCTTGGTGGCAACAGTCAGAACCAGCAGGTTTTCTGCATGCAGGAGAAAACACAGGAAACACATCATCAACTTGTATTGTTGATATTCCATACTTAAAAATGTTTTACTCTCACAACACCAAACTAAGGTAGGGATCATTAGTCTTAAAGGCACTTCACAGTTTCGACAACAGGAAGTCAACAGGAGCACAATCCAATCACTGGACATTTCCAGCATCATATTTTAAGCTGGCTGTGAATCCAGCAATAGAATCCAGAAGTCCGAGTCTACACTCTGTCACTGCTGTTGGTGGACAAAGGTTATGTCTGCTCCATAAAACACGGATAGCTGCCCAGTTCCATTTTAAAACAGGCAAGGGAGGTAGTCTAGCTGTGGAGCTACCCCATCCTGCTGAGAAGCAAACAGCTTGCTTACACCTCACCCAATTATCTCTACCCTGTACAACGCTAAGCACTATAGGTGTTCTCACTGCCCACAAAGCTTCGGGCCCAGAAAGAAAACAGCTTCAAATCCTACTTATTTGCTGCCTGGATTTTCTTGGCAGCAACTCATATCAGAGACTCAGAGAGAGGGGGGGAAAAAAAAAGAAAGCATGGATGTAGCTATTGTTTTACTGGAGGAACAAACTATCATAGGGGACAGAACATGGCAAAGGTGCCCAGAGATGTCAGCATTTAATGGAATAACCCCAAACTAGCTGCAGTGCAAGCAAGACTGTTTTTCTGCCTTTGTGTTTGTGCAGCTCAGATCAGAACTTGATCCTGAATATAAAAGGGAAGATGGTATAAAAATACAATTTCATTGCCCGAGTAATGAGATGGAAAAAGAAAATGGAATGTATGGAGTGGGGTTTTTGTGCTGCTTTGGAAAGCTACAATTCTATTCTTTCACAGAGAATTTGGAGGAAAAGAAGTAGAACCACTGAAAGATGCCCATTTGGATGTCACCCATTTAGTGCAACTGGCTTCCTGTTCCCTACAGAGTTGATTTGTTGTCAGTCAGCATTGACTGGGTATAGAAAAACCAAAATTCTGCTGAGTGTCATTATTCCCCCCCCTGTGGCTGTTCCAGTTTCCTACTTCACTCCAGAGGCATTTTCCAGATTTTTTTTCATAAAATGAATTTAATTCTACCACCACTTTCATCTACATTCTCCTCCCAAATTTGTTTCTCATTTCCAGTCCCTTAGAAATGACAAAGCTAAATCCTACAGTTCTCTTCCAAAAGTTTCTCCAGCGTACCACTGAAATATGATTTTTATGTGGAGGCCCTCATTTCTCAATTGTAATGATTAAATGCTATATTTCATCTTAATACTTTTACTTAAGCAGGAATTCGTATAGGCTCTGGCAACAGTGTTTAAATATGAATCCTGACCATCTGATTTTAACATCAGAGAATACTAGGAAAACCTGAAATTCTGTTTTCTTGGCTTGAGCCGGCTTCTCTTGGAATAATGATCTTTTTCAATGGATCTACCAGATGAATCCTCCTGATTCACCCAAACTGATATTGACTGACCTTAGAGAGAAAGGATCCAAGAAGGGTTCCTTACAGACCTGACAAAGTCAGCAGAAGTGAAAAATAAGGTAAAAACTGCTGATTAGGATGAAAGAGAATAGCCCCAAAGAAATTCCTAAAACCTTTTACCTGCATCAGAACACGGAGAGACTGAGAACAGTCAACAGTGAGGTCAGATCTAACTGCATCTCTTTAGTCGTCTATGCACAAAGGGAGTGATAAACAAAAGAAAATGAATCCCACATAAGCACAACTTTAAAGGCAGATTTTTAGCTGTATGAAGTGCATTCCTAATTCAGCTCCTGCAGCACACTGCAGTTCTACACGCCCTGCTCAGTCACAGGGTGCAAATAAATGAGTAAAATATGTATTTCCTTGGGGAATGTGTTAAAGCCATTAGCATTTCTAGCTACATGACGGCATGAAGAAAACCATGGCAGCTTTACTGGCTCTGAGCTTGCAGTTTCTGAGAAAATCTTTCATAGTGCCAACGAGGAGAGGAGCAAATGTGGGCTTGTCAAAAAGGAATGTCAAGACAAACATCAGACCTGAAAGGAGAGGAGAAAGCATATCACGGGGATAGAAGAAAAGAGCCTGACTGCCACGCAACTAGTTTGGCCTAAATGCTCAGGTATGTCCAATTAAATAAACCAATAACGTATTTTTGTGCCACCACACGAGAAAGCAACTAACTGCTTATATGTTGCTCAACAGCAATGCCAAAAGTTTGCTGGAGCAGAAGCCGGAGCAGAAAGCTCCCCTGGATGCACAGGAAGCGGTGTCGTATTTCTAAGACAGAAAAGGTTTGCTGTGCAGCATGTGAAGCCACTGGTGCATGGAGAGCCAGCACAGCCACTGCTACCCTCGGCATCTGAGCTCCTACTTACAGATCCCCTCCTCCTTGCTGTTCTGGGGGTGTAGGACTCAACGAGACATTCAGTTCAGTTTCTCTTCTGAGCAATCTCTGCAGTAGCAAAAGCTTTCCATCCCAAGAGACATTCCTTCAGCCCAGTGTTTGAGGCGCTGTGCTGAGCTATGCTGCCTCCACTCCTACTCATTTAACCCTTTTTTCTCTTTCCTAATGGTTTTGGTGCAGCTGTCCACAGACAGAGCAGCGAGCTCTTTTCATTTTACCAACACACAGAAGGACTTTGAAACCTCCAAAAGCAGTCTCGTGCTTCCCTGTTTTCCACATAACAGTTAATTTTCACACCCAGAAGTGGCACCTATTCTGTTAAGCTGCACCCAAAGACTTTTCAGGCCACACTGACAATCAGAAATACATTTAATAATGGTACAACTGCAAAATACAAACACAGTGTGGTTCAATGAAGGACGTGCTGGACTAGGAAGCAGGGCAGCTGGACTGTACCACTCTGCAACAAGGAATCAGTCTTGCTGTCCCTCTACTTTGCCATCTGTAAAAGGATAACAAAGGACATTTAACACTTCTGTTTTTGAGCACTACAGATGCCAATCATTCTAAAGGAACAAAGTTTTAGTAAGGAAGGTCTGATATCGACCTCACTGTGAAATGATTGGGGTGGGCTTCTGAGTTTTACAAGCAAAAATCAGCGATGAGTTCAGCAACAAGAAATTGTACAGTTGTTTATTTCTGACTCTACAGGGAGAGCACAGCTGCTGTTCAGGACATGGAATGAGTTTATCCCCAGGCTACGCTTCGTGAAAGCTCATTGTGCAGCTTCCTGTAAAGATGGTGTCCAAGAAAATACTTTTAATACTGGGATCAAATAGAAAAATCAAGTGCACAATTTAATGAAATATCCATTTCCCAAAGTTTTTAGGTAACAGTCCAACTGAAAACTACAAATAACTAAACTTGAAGCTTCTGAAGAGATTTAAAAGAACTTATCAGGGAGAAGATAGGTATGGCTATTCTCGTATTGCTCTGGGGAAGCTGAGGCACAGACATGGCAAGGCATTTTTTTTTTTTTTTTAACCCATCAGAAAACAAGAAATTCCAACACTCTCTTCCTAAACAACACACCTCACTATCTATTCCCAGCACCCCATTTAATATCGGTGTGTTCCAAGAACTTGCTAAAAGCCCAGACGCTGGAGGTGTGTAGGGGAAGCAGGATGACACCAGGATTCATTCCTCACTTGAATTTGGCTCACATTTATCCTTGACACTGCTTGCATTGTGCTGGTAAAGCTACAGCACTCCCAGCCCTCCATGGGTACATGTTAAACACATTAAGGGAAATATTCTAGGTAACAAGATGAATTCTTCTCTTCATTGCTGCTTCGCTAATGAAGACAGAGATAATTATCCAAACATCTTGGCAGAGTGACAGTGTGTGAATCTCTTTGTCAGCTGGCTGACACTCAATGGCTTCCCTAATTCCCTACTGATGTACCAATTACTCCTCAGAGCGTAGTACATGCAGAGATACTAGGATGTTTTAGGAGCACCATGGATCTCAGGATGAGATCTCAGGGTTCTCATGGTCAGCCTAGGGATCAAAATGCTCCGTTACCTAATTTTTGACCTGTGTAAGTTCAAAAGCAGCAAGGGCTGACCCAGCTGGGATGCAACCATGGGACTTTATCAACCTGAAATGTTATCCAAGGCTCTCCTCACACGACTCTGAGCAGCCAGTGCCTGTCTGATAACTGAGGCACCCAGGAAGCACGTGCAGAGAGCACCCACCGCACTGGTGCATCAGCTCAGAGCTCAGCACCAAGCTCTGGGTGCCACCCAGGAGCTCAGATAACACAGTAAGCATTGGCAATACCTCTGAGCTGCCCTGGGAAGTTCCAGGCGGTACCGGCACCACCAGCAGGGCTGCCCCGCCACCAGCCCGGCCTCCAGCTCCCCGTGCAGCCCGCTCCGACCCGCAGCCCTCCTTTCCCCCTTACCTTCCTGCTTAGAGCCGCTTCCACCCTGCACCCCGAGCAGCGGCAGCACCACCCAGGGCAGCAGCACCGCCGGGGGCACCATGGAGGCGACTTCCCCGCCCGGATCCCACTACGGAAACCGACACCGACTGCGGGCGCTGCCTACGGGACGGCTTTCAGGCTCTGCCCCGCTCCGCACAGACCCAGCCGGAGCCTTTGCCACGCACCAGACCCGCCCGGCGGGGACGGGCGGAGGAAGAGGGGAGGGTGGGGGGGGAAGCGGCTCCTCCTCCCCGCTCCGGCCCCCGCAAGAGGCGCGGAGGCAGCTGGGCCGGAGCCGGGAGAGGCAGCAGGAAGCGCTGGGGCCGAGGGTTGTGCGAAGCGAGAGCAATGCGGGTCGTGCAGCCGCGCTGATTTCACGTGGGGCGCGCGGTGCGCTGCTCAGCCGTGCGGCAACCGAGTGCAGTAAGCGTTCATGGAACGCGTTCAGCCAACGAAGGGAAGCGGGAGCTGATGTACGGCAGTGCTTCGGTCTGTGCTGGGCTGGGCTTCGCACAGTCATTAAGCGTTAAAAAATGCACTGCAGAAATTAAGCACAGCTCGGGGCGCTGGAAGCCGTTACTAAATGCCTTCTTTTTCATTTGGCATCTCATCCGTTTTCTTCTGGAATACAAAATCTGCTGCCGTGATTTGCTATGCTGCTTTTCTCCAGCTGCATCTACTTCCTTCTCTTACGTTTCACTCTCTTCGTGCTGGGATTTCTTGTTGCATCCCCGATGATTTACCCACGTTTCATTTCCTCGTTTGTTTTGGCTAACTTTGAGAACAGGCAAAATGAATCCACCTTATAAAATGATAATCTTTAAAAGAAATGGGATCATGGTCATTTTTATATTGCGGTGAATGGATGGGTCAATGCAGGGAAACCCTGCTGTGATGTGAGCTCTTGTATCAGCTGTGCTCAGGGAAGGAAACACACAGCTGGAAACACACAGCATAGAAGAGTAAGAGCATTTGGTAAGCATTGTCTCAGTTACAAGGAAGACACTACAGCTGTTATTCTCCATGCTTCCTCACAAAGAATACCAGTTTTTATTTATTTGCTCACTGGGAATAGTCTTGATTGTTTTCCAAGCACTCTTGTTTCCACTCCTTCTCCCCAAAGTAGGAATTCCCTCCTAATTGCTGGGCAAATGAAGCAGTTCTGAAGCTCAATTGATGAACTGCAGGCAACAACCCAAGGAAATATCAGTTCTCCCTAAGATGGTGATTTCAAGAAACTTCCTTTTTCAATGCTGCCAGTTTCAATAACTGAAAAAAATAAATCACTTTCACTTTAGATTTCTGCCGTACTATAGAAGTCCTGAAAAAGTTCTTGATAAATCTTCAGCATTCTCTACAATTTAAGGTGGGAGCCACAGCAGAGGTGTTCAGCTTTCACCTTCAAAGCTCAGACACAGTGCTGCGACTCAGGCTATAGAGTTGTAGGAATATTAAGTTTCTCCCTGAAGGTTGTTCAATCTCTCCATTCTAAAATGAAAGCCGTTTTGTGGTTAGGAGTTGTGAATGCATCATTAATACCACCATCCTCCGTCTGGCCCTATTTGACAGCTTTGTTTGCATTCTGCAGCCATGCCAACCCAGCAAGCACGCTTCTTTCCTCTTCCTATGCTTGCACTGCTCTGTGCGCTCAGGCTGGAATCGGTGCCTGTCTTTTTAAACAGAAGCAGCTGCCAGTGCAGATGTTCCTGTGAGTACGTGCAACACGTGCTCTGAGCAGAGCTGCAACTTCCTAACAGCCCAAGGGAGCTCAGCTTTTAAGGCAGACCCACAACACACCCAACCTCTGTATATGTGATGGATCTCACCCATTACAGTGTGCCACTCTCCATCTCCTCCCCCCCCCCAAAAAAAAAAACCCCATCCCTAACCTAAAAAAACCCAAACACCTCGTCGGCAGGGAGTTGGGAAAGGCTCTGTTCTCCTTTGCTGAGCCGGGCAGGAATTTCACACTTCGTTTCAGCTCGCAGGGTTTCTGCAGGGTTTGCTACTGTCTTTGAGAGCTGTGCTGGACTCCAGAGTTTTCCCTGGCCCGCTGTGCACACAACTGTAGGAGCAGATGGGAAACTCCTTGCTGCTGGAGGTAGCAGGGATGGCACAGGGCATCGCGCAGACCCCGTGTTTGCTATCGCAGAGCTCCACAGCAGCCCAAATCGCACCCTTGGACTCGATGATCCCTGCGGTCGCAGCACTGCGCTCACCGTCCCGCACCCCGCACAGGGCAGAAAACGTGGCTGGGACACAACGCGCTGTGCCGCATCGGGCTCCGCTGTGCTAACGGGAATCGATGACCACTAATATGACGGAAAACTGCCTCAGGCCCGCTCCGGGCTGCTTCCACCACTGCATTAACTACAGACACGGCGCCCGTCCTGAACGGAGCCGGGTCACCGCGCCAAACCGCCTGCGGGCGGTTCCGTGAGGCGGCGCCGGGCCGCCCGCCAAGGGCTGAGCAGAACGCGCGACGCCGCAGCTGTCGCAAAGCGTCGCAAAGCGCCGCCGAGCGCCGCCGAGCGCAGCGGGGCTGCCGTACGGCGCGGCACTTCCGGCCGGCGGCAATGGCGGCGTGAGGGGTCGGGAAGCGGCCGCTGGGGCGCCGAGGCCGGGCCGGGACGGGTCTCCCGCCCCGCCGCCGCCGCTCATGTGGCTGCAGCAGCGGCTGAAGGGGCTGCCGGGGCTGCTGTCCAGCAGCTGGGCGCGACGGGTGCTGCTGCTGCTGCTCCTCCTGCTCGTCGCCTACTGGTACCTGGGGGCCGGGCGGGCGCGGCTCGGAGCCGGGCGGGGAGCGGAGCCCCGCGGCGCCGCCGCCCTCTGCCTGCAGGCGGCCGCGGGCCCCTGGCGGGCTCAGGCCGAGCGCGGCGATGCGCTGCCGCTGCCGGAGGACGAGGTCGGCGGCGGGCCGGGCCTGGCGCTGGCGGGTAACGGCTTCCTGCTGCTGGACGTAGCCGCCGGCCGCCTCTGGGTGTCGGCGGCAGGGTCTGGCGGAGGCCCGGCGCTGCCCACTGAGTACCCGGCGCTGGTGCGGCTGAGGGCGCTGGGAGGGCGTGGAGAGGCGCGGGCGGCGCAGGCGGCGCTGCGGGACGGGGCCGTGCGGAGAGTGCGCTGCGTGCAGACGGGTGCCGGGCCCGGGGGTGCCGGGGAGTGCGTGACGGTGCGGGAGGAGGTGGTGGCCCATCGGAGCCGGCCGCATCTCTACTTGCAACGCATCCGTATCGCCAACCCCACCGAGCGGGTGGCCACCTTCGAGGCCTCGGCCCCAGCTTCAGCACCTTCGCTGGGCGCCCGTTTCGCTACCAGCTTGGAGAAGGTGGAGGAGCGGCAGTTCCTGCTTTCCTCCGGCCGTCTGCTGCTGCCCGGCAGCCCCAAGGTGGTGCTCATGGTGGTGGCTGCTAAGAAGCTCGTGAGCCGGGTGCAGGTGGCACCCAAGTCTACCTTTGATGAAACCGTGTTGTCTGTGGTGTACACTTCGGAGCCCATCGAGATCTCCAGGCTGGAGGAGACCTTCAGCAAGCTGAGGGAGTCTGCCAAGAAAGAGATGCTGGAGGTGATGCAGATGGGGGTGGAAGATCTTTTCCAGGAGCACCAGCAGACCTGGTCAGACCTGTTCATTTCAGGTAAGGAAAGTGATCCTCAACTTCCAAGCAGGTGCTTTAGAGAAGAGCTGAACACTTGATGACCTGGTCCCTGTGAGGCCTCCAGAGGCACTGGGAAAATAAAATGGCATTCTGAGTTTGGAATCTAAAGTCTGATTTTTGGATGGTCCCAGGTGGAGCCAGGAGTCGGACTCCATGATCTTTTGAGTCTCTTCCAACTCAGGCTATTCTGTGATTCCATTTAGAAAAGTGGAGTCATCCTCACTGCATAAAAAAAATGACTGAGGAATGTTTCCCACCATAATTCTGGATGTGCTGGCTTTCATGTCTCTAGGGACTTCATTGATTTGCCTAGCATGCCAGCTGCAAGATGGGAATAGTGCTGATCTCCAGTTGCAGCATAAAGGACTACCTTTATACTTCTGTAAAATTCTCCATTAAAGTTGAGGACTGTCCTGTTGTTACTTCAGGGCTGCTCTTAAAAGATTTTCATGGCCTTGAATAAAAGAATGGCTGCCCAGGTAATGCATGGCTTTGTATTTTACAGCCAGTAAAAAGATAGATGTCCCTTTGAAATTTTTCTCACAGTGAACGTCATATTCACGTATGATCCTTTGACTCTTGGTTATTGTCACTTATTGCAGGGATTGAAATGAGGAAGATCACAGATTCACATACACCATCCAGTGAGACTGTAAACATGACCCTTTACTACATGCTTTCAAGCATGCCAGCTCCTCTGCTAGATCCACTCATTAGCAGTGAAGACAGAGAAAAAATGGAAGCCAGCTTGAACTATGCTGACCATTGCTTCAGCGGCCACGCAACCATGCATGCAGAGAACCTGTGGCCAGCAAAGCTGACCAGTGTGCCCCAGATCTTGCAGCTCTCAGACCTGTGGAAGCTGACACTCCAGAAACGGGGGTGTAAGGCTCTCGTGGCAGCCGGAGTCCATGGGCTTATGCAAGGCATGGTGCTCAGTTTTGGAGGTCTGCAGTTCACAGAAAACCATCTTCAGTTTCAGGCTGACCCTGATGTACTTCACAACAGCTATTCCTTACGTGGGATCCATTACAACAAGGATTTGATTAACTTAGCCGTTCTGCTGGATGCAGAAGGAAAGCCCTTCTTGCACGTGTCTGTGAAATTCCAAGACAAGCCAGTCAGACTATATGCGTGTGAAGCAGGCTGTATGAATGAGCCTGTGGAGCTGACCTCAGAGGCACGAGGCCATACGTTCCCGGTCATGGTGACTCAGCCCATCACACCACTACTTTATATATCGACAGATTTGGTCCACTTGCAGGACCTGAGACACACGCTCCATCTGAAAGCTATTCTGGCTCATGAGGAACACATGGCCAAGCAGTACCCAGGTTTACCCTTCCTGTTCTGGTTCAGTGTGGCATCCTTAATCACATTGTTTCATCTGTTTCTGTTCAAGCTCATCTACAATGAATATTGTGGGCCAGGAGCCAAGCCTCTCTTCAGGAGTAAGGTGTAAGGCTGCTGCTTCTGGCTGCCTTCCTCTGAGTGTTTTTGTCAACTGTGCCTAGGGAGTCTCTCAGATTGTGAGGATTTTCAGTCTCTCTTGCAACAAGTGATCTATGGCATCTTGCAAGCGGTAGGATTAGGACAGGGGTTGGAGTGGTAGGACTCACAAATATTAGAAAGAGAGAAATCCATTGTCAGTCCTTAAACATTCCTAAGGCAGCAGATTAAAGCAGATGCAGCTTTTCTGTCCTTTTTCCACAGCAGCTGTGTCACTAGATAATGTTTCTTATTAAACAGTGTGGGAATGCTTAAGAGAGAGCTGCCATTTACTGCTGTGTGTGAGATGTGCATGCTTGTCTGCCTGCTTTCAATGTGTGACTTGTCAAATGAGAACACACAGATGGAAGCTAGTGCTCTTAGGTCAAGGTGCTGACCTGTTGGGACTACTGGTTAACATTTACAAATACATAGACACTGTGCAATACTTCATCATGCCACATTAGCACCATCATTTTGAGAAAGAGTTTCTCCCATTCAGACAACATACTAGCTGCTTCAAGAAGAGTGCTGAGTGCTTTTACTGTGAGTTGGAGGTTCTGACTTAAGCATCTCCCACTTCGGTGTAAAAGATTTGAAATTCTTGTTTTGAGTAGCCTAGAAAACCTGGTCACTAGTGAAACCCTACTACAGAATAGATACTGAAGTGATTTCTGCTCTTAGGACTGGTACTTTCTGGATGTGTGTTGGTACAAAGCAGGAACGAAACATCAAGACTGCATAATAGAGCTGTCAGAGGAGAAGGTCTGGCTTTGGAATGCCCTGTTTTTCCAAATTGTAACAGAATTTCGGATAGTTGAAGTTGGGCAAAATGTACTGGATGGGAGGGGATAGTCAGTAATCTGATGGGTGTCAGCTCAAATGGTCGTTTTCATGTCAGCTCACAGGCTTTGCAGTGTTCAGATCAGGCCTGCAGGTCTGAATACCAGCCATCTATTGATGAATGAGAGGGATGGTGTTTCTGGCTAAACAAGCTAACAGGAAAGAGGTAGAATAGGTATTTATATCAAAGCGAGCTGCAATTAGAAGCATATGACCATTGTGAAACCGTAGTGCAAAAGGAGGAAGTGGTGGGGAAGTAATTTGAATTACACAGCTGCAAGCTGACACACATCCTGAAATGTACCCTTGACATTATAAAATGGTGTTCTTTGTTTTTTTTTTTTTTTACTGCTATCTTGTTGCCTTTGTCATCTACAAGATTTGCTGCCTGCCTTTTACAAAATAACTTGTTAGCTATTACAACAGGTAACTGTCCCTGACACTTTCTGAGATGCTGAGAAACTTCACAGTACTCACCAGGGCTGACTTAACACCTCTTCCTTCTTGACATTGCAAAAAGCTTTGCAGTGTACAGCAAACAAGTCTGTCTTAATTAGACCTACTTAAAATGAAGGTGGTGCAGAACTCAATTCCAAAACGAAGGATGCAGCGGAAGCCAGCTGAAGCTCAAAACCTCTGTAGCAGTAAGCAAGATTGATGGTGTTGAAATAGCACCGTTTCATGAATTGAATGGGAATTTCCTGGTGTCCAAGTGAACTTAGTCCTGCTTTCAGCCTCCATTTGCACAAGACATCTGACAATTTTTCAGCTGAGAACAAGGACCTTTTGAAAGCAACAATCCTTTTGTGCCTTGTTAAGAAAGGAATCTGAGACTTGGAACGTGTGGTTGTTCAAGAGTTTATCCCAGAATCTTGTGTAACAGACACTTTCTTTTTCCTTATAAGCTGTTGAGTTCCCTAAGAGTAATCCATTTGGTGAAAATACTTGAAGATATACCAAGTCCTTTGATTTTTTGATTTCTTTTTTAACTTTACAGGAAAATAAAGAATGATGATTCCCTTCAGAAAGTTAAATTAATGAGAAAATTTCAGCGTAACTTCCTTTCTGGTGTTTTTTAATTTATTACTTGAGGGGTGGGGGAGGATGTTAACAATTTTGCCTCCAGTTCAGTAACGAGACAGTCAGTTGAACTGTAGATATCTAAGTGCAGGTAATGTCTTTTCAGCCTTTATGATTGTAGAGTGCAAAATCAGTTTAAAGAAACTTTTCTGGACTTAAAAATGCTGATCTGCAGGTTTCCTCTTCTGAACATACTGAGGCTTTGTGCATTCGTTTGTTTTAGCTGTGGGGGGAGACATCTCACTTTCTAGTGGTTTAAAGGTTGTTTGGTTTTAAAATACCAAAGCTGTTGTTTCTAAATAAATATTTCTCAATCTAACCTGATCGCTGATGTGAGGGTTTCTTTGATCTCTGTTCTCTTCTTCCCTTGCTCTCTGCTCAGTCAGGACAAGCCTTATATTACATCCAAGCCTGACATTACATCAACTACACAAGTGCTTGCGTTTAAAGAAAATACTGTTTAGAAAACAAAATATAAATGTGTCCAAGCTGGAAACAGGGAATTTTAAAGGCAGAAGATGGAAGGCACAATAACAGAAACATTAATCTTCATTCCCTGGGCTCCAGGTAACATTGTTCTATCTGGAGGCGTGCAGACCAAGTTTAAGTTTGAAGAACGCTCATAAGTGGATCATGGATCATGGATCCATCCAATGGACTACTTAATAAATTGTACATTAAGTACATGGACAGAGTTATTAGCGATTATGCTTTAAAACACTCTGGAAGTACCTGTGCTCTTTCTTACTGAAGCCTCGTGAGCCCCATGAGCTGTGTAGGTTCTGTGAAACATCCAGCATGAAGATAGCTGTTTTCAAGCCGTCATGGTATTGGGATGAGGTTTTTGACGTACAACAGCAGAGCTGCCAACATATGATGTCCACTGAGCCCAAGAAAGATACTTCAGTCTATTCAGACAAGATCTGAAAAAGATGGATGAGCAATTGTTACATAAAGCAGAAATGGAGCAACAACGAAAAAGCTTTGAGGGGGGTCTCCATTAAAAATGTGATTCTTATTAAACTCCTCCCCAGGCAATGAAATAACTTAGAATTCCTTTACAAAGAGGAAAGGAAAAAATAAGAGAGAAAAGGGTTTCCCCTAACGTAGCAGAAGGTTGCTTGTGAAATAATTGTAAAAAGGCTTGAAAACAAACAAACAAACAAAAGCCCAAACAAGTCCATATTTATGACCATACCCACAAAGAAGGAAAACTGAAATAGTAATTGAACATCCAGAATTTATACTTCATTTTCATTGCTATTTAATGAAGAGACAGTCGCAAAACAGAATACAGAAAGCTGCATGGAAGCTGAAAGCACAGTATGTTATCTCATTCTATAAATTCAGATGTTGAGAAGAGAATGGACTAATTCCTGATTTTTCAGTTTTTTATAATCTCAATTCTATGGTTGGTCAATCCAGACTTTTGTTTTTGTCACATAATAAACACAAAATGCTAGAACAGTTTGGTTGATTCAAATTGAAATTCAGAATGCAACTTGCTCAAGCACTATTGTTCATATAATAGAATCACCAAGTTGGAAAAGACCTCCAAGATCATCCAGTCCAACCACTTAAAGCATTGTTCTGGTGGGATAATGCATTCTTGAGAGGGAAAAAGAAACAGCAAAGCATTATATATTTTTGCCTTCCTCATGTGTGCTCTGGGCATCTTTCATCCAAATCTACCTACTGCTGAATGCAATGAAAATCAGATTTTGCTGCTTGTTAGCACTGACATAAAATAACAGTTTTATTTCAACCATTTGGAAACCTCTAGCTTTGTCTGTATGTAGAAGAAAGAACTACAGCTGCGGTTATAGAGCTGACATTAGAACAGTTGTTTCTATTCCATTAAGTTTGCCCTTTATAACTTGGTTTATGGGATGGAGGTGTTTGGTTTTTAAATAAGCGTCGACAACTTTCTCAGGAGAAGGGAAGATGGATGGAGGGGTGATGGAGAATTCCTGTAGTGGAAGGAAAGGAGGAAGAAAGATGCAAGGAGAAGTGCTGTTATCAAGTCACTGATCTCCAGCATCTGGTAATTAATTACCACACTGAGGAGTTCTTTTGTGGCAGCTCTTTTGCTGTGGTCTAAATGCTTGTTCTTCTGGTGAAAATGAAGTAGTTTACTAACAAGTTGACACAGCATTGCACAGCTGGCCAGCATGCTGATTTGGGCCATGGAAATGCTCATTTGCTGTACTCCAGAAACCTCATTTTCTTCCAAGGAAGTGCCACTGATCTGAGAACTGAAGGGAAATAGAAAAGAAATAAAGCTTGGCTCGCCATGCTGCACCGCCCCCCATCATCACAGACAGCTTGTTCTCTGTACTCCTTGTAACATCTGCTCCCAAGCAATCACAGTTGGTTTTACTGAGGAAGGACAGCATGCTGAAACACAACACATCTAGGAAAGAAGATACATCACCATTCTGTCAAAAAATAAAGCAAAATAAAACAAAATTGCAAGCAATCATATCATCACACAACAACTAAAGCTGGAAGATGTGTCTGGAAATGATTCCAATCCCACTGATGTGTTCAAATCTCTTTAACATCTTTAGCATCTTTATCAATGACATCAACAATGGAATCAAGTGCACCCTCAGCAAGTTTGCTGATGACACCAAGCTGAGTGGTGCGGTTAACACGGTGGAAGGAAGAGATGCCATTCAGAGGGACCTCAACAGGCTTGAAAGGTGGGTCTGAGTGAACCTAATGAGGTTCAACGTGGCAAAGTGCAAGGTTTGGCACCTGGGTCAGAGGAATCCCAGGCATTTATACAGACTGGAAGGAGCGGTAGTGGTCCTTGAGAGCAGCCTGCAGAAAAGGACCTGGGGGTCCTGATGGATGA